GCAGACCTGAGCCCGCGGACAGCGCGCCGCTGCTAGGCCAGGCCCGCGCTCCTCCTCAGCGCAGGCGGAGCGCGTCCCGGCCCTGACTTCAGACCCAGCCACGGAGCCAGGTCCGAAGAGCTGCGAGGACCCCGCGTCGCCCTGACTCGCCACCTTCTCTGACAACAGCACAGCCGAGTCAGAGTAATGGGAAAAAGGGAAGAAATGGATTCCACGACCGAAAATAACGAGGGAGAAACCCCATGTTTGGATACCAAGAAACTCTGAAATATCCCATATGTTTAAGAAAGAATAACGGAAAATTTTCAAAACATGTTGAACTGAACAATTCTACATTTAGTAACAGCTTGGGAAATGCAGCCGAAGCATTACTGACTCCGCAGCTATAAAGTCTTACGTGAGAGGAAAGAAGGAAAAAAATAATGAGCTATGCATCCCTCTAAAGAAATTAGAACAAGAATAGCAAAGTACAGCTAAGGAGCATGAATGAAGGAAATAAAGATAAGGACAAATATTCATTCTCAAAAAATGGACAGACCACTGGTGAGACAGTTCAGAGCGCGGCTGTCCACCTGCACAAATGCTCAACGTAAAGCATTAAAACGGGACAGCTCTATAGCGCCCACAGAACTGAAAAAAAAAGAATACGAGAAACAACTTTATGCCAATAAACTTGAAAAGCTGGACAAAATGGACAAATTCCCCCAAAATTGTATTTCCAAAACTAACTCAAGGTGGCGGAAGTGTCCTACAACCATGAAGGACATTGAATCAAGAGGCAGGTGTACCTCCCCCAAAGCGACTCGGAGTTCAGGTCACTGTGCAGGTGACTTCTCCCAAACAGCCAAGGAACGAACAGCCCCAGTTTCACACACACAACGCCGTGGAAGAGCTCATTCCACAGGGTGTCTTGGCACCAAAATTTGATTAGGGCGGCAGCTGAGCAGATTCAGACCCTAGACAGAGATGCAAAGTCCTAAATAAAACCTTAACCTAGACCTACCAGTGTACAGGAGGGTAACAGGGCAAGACCACGCTGGAACGTTTCCAAGAGTGAAAGGTTTAACTCTGGATGGTCCCCTGGTGTCACTGACTGCACCAGCGATTACAAGAAGGACCACGGCAAGCTCTTAGGTTCTGGTGACGTCCAGCATCCACGCACAGAACGGACAGACTGACACCCGAAGGAGAAATCTCACAAGGCCATGAGAATGGCTACACGTAAACGTGGCAGGGATGGCTGGCAGCCACAGGACAGGCCACACATCAGAAAGCTGGCAGCTTCTTGCAGAGCGGACACACCCCGCCTCCCCATGAACAGATCGCTCGTTCCTGAAGAGAAGTGGACACATGGCCCCCAAGCCCCGAACCCAGATGGCCACGGCGGCTCTGAACACATCAGCCCCGGACGCCCACCAACGGCAGGTTCGAAGCTCAGGTGTACGGTCTGTTCCTACAACAGACACCCCGCAACAGGAGAGGGAATCATGGGTCGCCGCGGGTGGCGCCCAGAGCACACAGCTGCCAGGACCCACGCGCCCAGCCGAGGACCCTTCCGCAAGCAGGACCCAGACCTCCACGACCTCCCTCTTTGGGCAGAGGACGTGGACAGGCAGTGGCAGAAGGGTGTTAGTGAGCAATGGCACGTGCAGAGGTGTCCGAGCTCACAAAACCCACAAACCTCAAAGGGAAGAGGAATCAAGCAGGAAGAGCAAGGGTCCAAAGTAACCAGACCCACTGAAGTCTGGGGGTCGGGGCACAGGAGGCCGATCCGGGAATGCCAGCAGAGGGACACGGACCAGAAGCCGCCGTGACGGGGAGGTCACCAGGCAGTGGCGCTGTCTGGAACGGATCCCTCTAGGACGTCCAGGAAACGGAGGCCTGCCTCCTCATGTCAGCCCCGCAGGCCTGGCTGGAGCTCCCGGGAAGAGCTCAGGGCTCTCCCGCCACCATGGGAAGGAGAGAGCAGGAAACAAGACTGAGACCAAAGCCAGCATCCTCGAGAGGAACCGCAGCCTTCCCCAAGACAGGCAAAACACGCATATCATCAGAAGAGGGCGGTTTCAATACAGCCAGCGGAGAAAGGGTTACCGTCTCCGAAAAGCTGCTGAGAGTCCAGTAGGGGGACAAACAAAGGAGAAAAAATTTCGGCAAAAGAGATGAACAGGAATTTGGCTTACGAGGAAGTACAAGTGGCCTGTGTTAGTAATCAGAGAAATTCAAATTAAAACCACAATACCGTTTCACACCCACCAAGCTGGCAACAGTTGGAAGTCAGGCTGTGCTGCCGAGAAGCGGGGGCGGTGGGCACGCGGGGGGGTGGGGGGTCCGGCTGGCAGGAGCACCCTGGGAACCCTCCTGGTAGTAAGCTGCCCTAGCAGCACAGCAGGGGCTCCCAACAGAGGAGGCTCGAGAACGCCCACAGGGCACGTCCGGCCCAAACCTGGAAGCAGCCACAGGTCCCCTGACAGAGCACAGACTCGAGCTGTTGCCTTACAGGGGCCACCACACATCAGCTCCATGCCGCTCAGAAACGCACAGACTGGGCAAGAGTGAGCCGTGCAGACCAACGAAGAGTGGGGTCCCTTTTATGTAGTCTCCAAACGAGCAGAACAAACAACAGCCCAGAGGCAGAGCAGCGACCTTGCCAGGGAGGGGGGCTGCACCGGGACAGGCAGGTGGCATTCGTATAACCGCTCGCTGTTCTGTTTGTTCTACCCCGAAGCTCTTCACCCACCCAACACCCACAGAACCGCCAACACCCAGTACTGTCCAGCCCAGCCCCTGACATCCTGCCCCACGTCCTCCCCATCACACCAGAGTGGACTTCCTAGACCAGCTCCATGGGGGGGCTTGCAGGACCCCTCAGTGCATCCCCCGCCCGCGGGCCACTTCCTCCAATGAAAGTTTCGGTGGAGCCTCTGGGGGGCACTGGCCAAGAGGGGCAAGAGTGCCCTCAAGGAGCGAAGTGAGAGGGCAGCCAGCCCAAGAGGGCTGGGGTGGGGGTGGGGATGATGCCGGGGGGAACAGACAGGAGGAGCACGGGGGTGTCCAGGATGACCCTGGGCTATGGGGCCCGACACTGGGCCAAGTGCCCAGATGGGAAGGGGAGAGGAACCAGGCCCGGGGAGGGGTTTCTGAGCTCCCCTCAAGGCCTGGAGACTTCCCGAGAAGAGGCAAGCAGGTGGGTCTGAAGTCCTCGACCCCAAACCCTGGCCAACGCTGACCCTCAGGTCTCAGGTGGACACTGCATCCTCGGGGAGGCCCCAGCCATGTCTGGGAGCACCCACCCACTCCACTCGGCACAGCCGACGCCCTGAGCTGCCAGCCCTGCGCTCCGGGAGGGCAGACCCTGGAGCCCCTACCACGGGTTCACACACCTGCTGAAGGAGCAGGGCAGACGGTGCGGGAACCCCTGTCCACACACGCTGGCCACTTCCTCTGGTCCCACCAGCAGGTCTCCCAAGGGACAGCTCCTCCTTGTAGCCCACCTGCAGCCCTCCCGGCCCCGCGACTATCCCAGAACCAGGCCCCAGGGTGGGTCTCTCACCCTCAACCTCAGAGCTTCCTGAGCAGGGACCACTGAGTCAGGAAGAAACCTGCAGAGCTTAAAGCTGACAGGAGAGACAGGGAGACTGCAGGTCTGGGTAGAGTTGGGATGGCCACAGCACTGGCCTGGGGGTGAACTTGGTCCAGCTGTCACCACTGGGGACTGAGCGCTTCCCCACCAAATGGAGAGGGCAGTGACTTTTGCGGTGCCAAAATTAACAGCATGAAGCAAAGAGCAGTGTTTATGTACAAGGAAGTCCCTAAATCACAAAGCACGGTGCCAACAGGTAAAGGGTGGCCACCCCGCCAGCAGGGCAGCAGGGGCAGAGCCAGTCCCTTAAAAGGAGGAAGGATGAAGGCGCACAATCACGGTCCCAGGTCCCAGATTTGTGTGTCCTCTGGGCACTGCGTGCCCTGAGATTGACTCCAGGCCGCTCCAGCTTGGCAGCATGGCCACACGCGAAAGGAGATCTATGGAACCGGCGGAGAGAGGAGACACTAAGTCATCTCCACCGGCACCGCATCGGTAGGCAAGTGCAACGATGCCAGCTGGGAGCCAACCAGGTGAGCAGCTGGGACAGCCTCGGGGGACCGCAGGGCCTGAGAAACCCGGCGCGATTCTTCCGCTGCACGGGACGCGGAGCTCAGGGACCATCCTCGCCTCAGGGGCTGCTCGCAGGGAAGGCGCGTGCCCGAAGTGAGGCGCAAAGGTGACGGCCGGGGTGGGGATCCCGGAGTGGATGGCTCGGGTGCAGGCCCCGGGTGGGGGGGCCTGGGGCGGACGGTCCCCGATGGGGGTCCCACGGTGAACGATCCCGGGTGGGGATCCTGGAATGGACGGCCCCGGGTGCAGGTCCCGGGGTGGGCGGTCCCGGGTGCAGGCCCCGACGGGGGCCCGGGCGCGAGGTCCCCGGTGGCCGATCCCGGGTGGCCGGCAGGTGCGCGAGGGAACAA